GAGTTTCACTCTTGTTACCCAGGCTGGAGTGCAATGGCGCGATCTCGGCTCACCGCAACCTCTGCCTCCTGGGTTCAGGCAATTCTCCTGCCTCAGCCTCCTGAGTAGCTGGGATTACAGGCACGCACCACCATGCCCAGCTAATTTTTTGTATTTTTAGTAGAGACGGGGTTTCACCATGTTGACCAGGATGGTCTCGATCTCTTGACCTCGTGATCCACCCGCCTCGGCCTCCCAAAGTGCTGGGATTACAGGCTTGAGCCACCGCACCCGGCCGACATCCTTTTTAGTAAGCACGGTAGTAGGTTGGTAGGTAGAGAATATGAGCAAGATTCATGTTATTTATTTTTAATAAAGCAGGTATTGCTGTCTCTAAGGCAGATCTGATCACCTGTCTGCAGGAAGAAAAAGATCCCTGGAATATGAAGAGACACAGTATGGTAGCCAAGCCCCCAGGTGGGTGAGAGTGAATAAAACAGTTGACGTAGTTGAAAGGTTGGAAGATTGGGGGTGGGGGAAGCCATTCCCTACAATGTGTTTTGAAAAGCTGTGTTCCAAAACAAGTAGTTTCTGGGAAGCCTGAGGTGTTTGTTTGTTTTGTTGTTACTGTTCTCACATAGGGCCATGTTCTCTCTTACCCTTTTAAATTCTCTAAGGATTCTACTCCTGAGATGTTTAATCGGCCAAAAAAAAAAAAAAAAAAAAAAAAATGGAATTCTATATTCCCTTCATTGATCTTCCTTTAAGTTTACAGTGAGAGCCAAAGTCCTCTTCATAGCATATTAAGACTCCACAGGCCGGGCGCGGTGGCTCAAGCCTGTAATCCCAGCACTTTGGGAGGCCGAGGCGGGTGGATCACAAGGTCAAGAGATCAAGACCATCCTGGTCAACATGGTGAAACCCCGTCTCTACTAAAAATACAAAAAATTAGCTGGGCATGGTGGCGCGTGCATGTAGTCCCAGCTACTCAGGAGGCTGAGGCAGGAGAATTGCCTGAACCCAGGAGGCGGAGGTTGCGGTGAGCCGAGATTGGGCCATTGCACTGCAGCCTGGGTAACAAGAGCGAAACTCCGTCTCAAAAAAAAAAAAAAAAAAAGACTACACAATCTGACTGCCTTTGCATTGTTTTGGGGGACACATAGATATCTGCATGATTTTGAGAAACTTCCTGTTAAACTATGTTTTTAGTTCTCTTTTTGCATTACATCTAAAATGTGTGATAGTAGTGGTGTTTGTTCTGTTGGTGGGTTTTTGTTTTTTTTTTTTTTTTTTTTTTTGATACAGAGTCTCACTCTGTTGCCGAGGCTGGAGTGCAGTGGTGCAAACTCAGCTCACTGCAATCTTTGCCTCCCTTTTAAGAGACAGGGTTTTTTTTTATGTTGGTCAGGTCAGTCTTGAACTCCTGACTTAGGTTATCCACTCACTTCAGCCTCCCACATTGCTGGGATTACAGGCATGAGCCAACATGCCCCGCCTCTATTGGTTTTTGTGTTAATTATCTGCTCATTCTATTCTGTTTTGATTTCTATATTCTTGAAACATGGTTTGAAATTATAAAGTATGATGTCTCTCTGCTTTCTTCCTTTTCCTCAGAGTGCATTGGCTATTTGAAGTTTATTATAGTTTCCTGTAGATTTTAGAATTGTAGTTTGTATTACTGTAAAAAAATGCCACTATAATTTTAATAGAAAGTTGGGCCAGGCGCAGTGGTGCATGCCTGTAGTCCCAGCTTCTCGGGAGGCTGAGGTGGGAGGTTGCTTGAGCCCAGGAGTTCTGGGCTGTAGTGCGCTATGTCGATTGGGTGTCGGCACTGAGTTCAGCATCAATATGGTGACCCCTCGGGAGTGGGGGACCACCAGGTTACCTAAGGAGAGGTGAACAGGCCCAGGTTGGAAAAGGAGCAGGTCAAAACTCCTGTGCTGATCAGTAGTGGGATCGAGCCTGTGAATAGCCACTGCACTCCAGCCTGGGCAACATAGTGAGACCCTGTCTCTTAAAAAAAAAAAAAAAAAATAGGAGGTTTGTTGAATCTACAGATTACGTTAGAGAATATGGTACTTTAGGCCAGGTGTAGTGGCTCACGCCTGTAAACCAGCACTTTGGGAGGCTGAGGCAAGTGGATTGCAAAGTCAGGGGTTCGAGACCAGCCAATGTGGTGAAACCTGGTCTCTATTAAAAACGAAAAAATTAGCTGGGCAGGGTGATGCACACCTGCAATCCCAGCTCTTCGGGAGGCTGAGTCGGGAGAATCACTTGAACCCGGGAGGCAGAGAGTGCAGTGAGATCGTGCCATTTCACTCCAGTCTGAGCAAAAGAGCATGACTTCATCTCAAGAAAAAAAGTCTTCTCTAATTTCTTTTTTTTTTTGAGACGGAGTTTTGCTCTTGTCACCCAGGCTGGAGTGCAATGGCGCGATCTCAGCTCACCGCAACCTCCGCCTCCTGGGTTCAGGCAATTCTCCTGCCTCAGCCTCCTGAGTAGCTGGGATTACAGGCATGTGCCACCATGCCCAGCTAATTTTTTGTATTTTTAGTAGAGACGGGGTTTCACCATGTTGACCAGGATGGTCTCGATCTCTTGACCTCGTGATCCACCCGCCTCGGCCTCCCAAAGTGCTGGGATTACAGGCTTGACTCTAATTTCTTTTATTAATTTTTTTTTTTTGAGACATTGTTTTGCTCCTCTTGCCCAGAATGGAGTGCAGTGGCACAGTCTTGGCTCACTGCAACCTCTACCCCTCAGGTTCAAGCAGTTATCCTGCCTCAGCCTCCCGGGTAGCTGGGATTACAGGCACCCATCACCATCCCCAGCCAATTTTTTATATTTTTAGTAGAGATGGGGTTTCGCCACGTTGGCTAGGCTGGTCTTGAACTCCTGACTTCAGGTGATTCCCCCGTTTCAACCTTCCAAAGTGCTGGGATTTACAGGGGTAAGCCACTGTGCCGAGCCTCTTTTATTGATTTATATCTTTCATTGTAAAGATTTTTTGCCTCCTTGGTTAAATTCTTAGAAATTCATTATTGTGAGGGGGGAGGGTGATAAAAAAATAATAATAGTAAAAAAAGGAATTCATTATTGTATGTATATTTTAAAAAGAATATTTCTCCTGACTGGCATGATGGCTCAGGCCTGTAATCCCAGAACTTTTGGAGGCCACAGCAGGTGGATCACCTGAGTTCAGGAGTTTGAGACCAGTCTGGCCTATATGGGCTCTACTAAAAATATAAAAATTTACCCAGGTGTGATGGTGGGCACCTGCAATCCCAGCTACTTGGCAGTCCGAGGCAGGGGAATTGCTTGAATCCAGGAGGTGGAGGTTGCAGTGAGCCGAGATCCTGCCATTGCACTCCAGCCTGGGTGAGAGAGCGAGATTTGGTCTCAAAAAAAAAAAAAAAAAAAGATTTTTTATTTCTATTGTATCTAATAGCTTGTTTTAAGTGTACAAAACAATAACTTGTACTTTTGTTAATTTTATATTTTATTAATTTACTGAGTGTATTTATTAGTTTTGGCAAATTTCCATGTACTGTCTATGGTTTTTTATGTATAAGATTATTCCACAAACAGCAACTTTTTACCTATTTGTCTTCAATTTCAATGAATTTAAAAAAATAGTGTTTATTCATTATTCTGCCACATACTTCCAGTGCTATGTTAAAATAGAAGCATTGATAATAGGCATAATATAGTTTTATATTGGTGTCTGTGAATTTGAAAGAGCAAAGAACTCCTCAAGTTTTCATAAATTGGTATCAGGAAGTAAAGGTCTTTTATTGGGTTCCCGGGTTCTGAAATGCCCCTGGGTTTGTAGTAGAGTGGGGTGATAACTTGGTGACAAGGCTTCTGGGTCTCCACTAGGGTCCACAATTGGTTGGCTTGTTACAAGGGCTTAAGGAGCTATAATTCCCCCCACTTTTTTCATAGATTAAATATCCTTCAGGACTTTTATCTGTGGAGCAGACACGGGCAGGTTTCTACAGTCAGGGCCATATAAAATGGCCCTTATATCAGGATGTGAATGAGTATGGCCTTCACTGAGTACCAGAGAGAATTTCCACAGGTTACTGTGTAGGTTTCTATGTAGGCAGAACTGGCCATGAACTGTTACCCATGGAACTGAGTCATTGACCTGCTTCAGGGACCACAGTAAAGAACGAGGTCTGTAGTCCTGCCCACATGGCTATAAATGGGTACCTTCCTCCAGGTCTCTAGAAGGGCAGGACTTCTCCCAAACTGTAACTGGAAGAGTTTGGAATGGCTTCAGAGTAATTTCAGAATTCTCAGTTGGACCAAGGTAGTTGGGCCATTTCTTTCTTTCTTTCTTTTTTTTTTTTAAGACGGGGGTTTCACCATGTTGGTCAGGCTGGTCTTGAACTCCCGACCTCAGGTGATCCACCTGCCTTGGCCTCCAAAGTGCTTGGATTACAGCTGTGAGCCACCACGCCCGGCTGGGTCATTTCTTGATGTGTAGCCAAGACCAGGGGTCCTGTAGTTTCCCGCTTAAATGAGGACCTGCCCTCTGAAAAGGAACACTCCTCAATCTTGGGCTTCAGCAGAGTTTTACAACTCCCTCGCTAAATCTCAAAGCTCTCTTAAAGGCATTTATTTTGGACACAAGGTCTTGCTTTATAACCCAGACTGGTCTTGAAGTCCAGGACTGAAGCAATTCTCCAACCATAATGTACCACGTAATTGTCATTACAGATTTGAGCTGCGATGGAGGGATAAGCAAATACAGCCCTTTTAATTTTATCATCTGATGTTTCTCTTGCTATACATTTTTGTTTTCTGTTTTAAACTTATTTGTAATTCTAGGTTCAGACATTTAGGACACTATGCCAGAATTTACATGTTATGCCTAAAGTAATTTAGATAATTGGTGGTCACTCCATGTTTACTGAAATACTTATATATTTAAATTTGCTGCAGGCAAAAACAAAACAAAACAAAAAACAGGATTTTTGCCAGTGTGGTGGCTCACGCCTATAATCCCAGCACATTGAGAGGCTGAGATGGGCGGGTCTCGAGGTCAGGAGATTGAGACCAGCCTGGCCAACATGGTGAAACGCCCTCTCTACTAAAAGGTACAAAAAACTAGCTGGGTTTGGTGGCATGCACCTGTAGTCCCAGCTACTCAGAAGGCTGAGGCTGAAGAATCACTTGAAATCATGCCACTGTACTCCAGCACGGGCAACAGAGCGAGACTCTGTCTCAAAAAAATAATAAAAAAAAAGAAAAGCAGGATTTTCACCTTCCTGCTTCAGTGTATATTTAAATGATAACATAATTTATTGCTAAATATTTGTTGAATATATCAGAGGCTCTAACCGTATTTTTTGCAAAATAGAATTTTAAAAATTAGCATTGTAAGGGTATTCTTTGCTTCTAAAGTTGGTTTACAGCTGTTTTATTTTGTGTACAAATAGCTTATTTTTAAAATATAGAAGTTATCACTC